GGCGGGCCAAGGCGTGGGGTTGGTCGGCCGGCGGGAGGTGGCTGCCAGGTAGCCGGTGGCCTGGGCGGTTCAGGGAGAGGCAGCGGCAAGGGGCAAGGGGAAGGGAGAAGGAGAATTTTCAAGGGATTCGAGTGGCCACAAATTCACTCACCTCAATTATCTTCAATCTGAATTTCCATAAAGATACCTTGGACGAAAATCTAGAACTCACAAAGAGATCTATCTTTTCCGATGAACTCACTAAGAGATCTAGGAGGCATGAACTCACAAAGAGAACATATGAGCAAATTTTTCATTCATCAAAAACTAAAACTCCAAGACTAAGCCTTTATATAGGCCATCCGAAAAATACAAACCATAAAGACGACATTGCCCTTGAGCTACCATATGCAATAACTTCCTCATAGGGGTGCAAGTGGAAAACATAAAATATAAATGACATGAATAAAAATAAAACATCAGAAATAGAGACTATGAATAGTGGTCGTCGCTCGACGATCCCTCCGATGGTAGGTGTGTCGAAATCTCCTATGGATGTCCTCATCATAGCCACCTCTTGAACTTGTAGGTGTCACCTCTAGAATCCTATCAACCATGTGGATGATTCTCGACAAAAGATAAAGTTAAGTGGGGGAGATTGTGAAACCTTTAAGTAGAGTGAATCTAAACTCTTAAACATCGAAACACATTTTGATGTAATGGTAGAATTTTGTTAAAAATTCCATAAATTAAGCATGCTCCTAGCACTCCTAGTATTGATCACCTCCTAGAAAATTATACTAACAAGACAAAACCATGGAGCCATTATGCTAAAAGTGGACAATATATCAATAGTTCATCATCAATCTATTAACTTTGTTAGAGAATTTTGAAAAAACCAATTAGAGCAACAAGTAACATAAGAAATTGAAGAAGAAAAGATCTTAAAGTACTTTAACTATTATCCCAATCGACAAAAATTGCCATTTTCGAGCACACCAATCCTAGCACCAATCGCAATATGGATTTTCATCAAAACCTCTCGCACTCATCTTGATTTAATTATTGAAGAAGGTTATTCGTATTTTCTTTTGATGGTTTTGGATGTTTTATTTCAACAATTATTTCTTTCAATGCTTTTTTATGTGTTGATGTTCTCACATTATTGCATTCTTATTTTGATTTATATTAATGAAATGAAATTGTACATTTCATTCCGTTATTTATGTTGATATATTATATTATATTATTTGTATATTAAATTTCTTCTCTTAAGTATAAAATAAGTTTTATTTTCCCTTCATCGCATCCAGTGTTTTTAGGGTGCACCGTCTTCCAAACCCAAAATACGATAGTTTAAAATCCTCAGATCAATCAAACTTCGCCAAGAGTAAAGTTTCTATTAAAGTATGATTATCATCAAAGAATAGGCTCAATACCTCCAGGTGTGAGAAATGACACAATGGACAATGTTCTAGGGAGACAAATCAAATTGCTCATACAGATCCAACTTTACTCAAGCTAGTAGAATTACATTAGAAACAAGACGGAAGGAGCTCGACTAGATAAGCCAAGAACAAAAATCATCGAGATAATCAACTGATCAGATCCCAAGTTCTTGTACTGACACCTTTGGATATCAATGGAGAACCTCATCTTGTGACTTATTAAGTACAAATAAACCTTTTGTAACTCATTATTAAAAAAAGATGCATTATAATCTTGTAATTTCAAAATAGGGTGTATCTTTTCTACTACTTCAAATTCAAAATTAGATCCTCTTTTATGATTAAATTTTCAATATTCCAAGTTATATCAGCTCCTTTACTTCCCCACTTTCACCTTCAATAAAAAAACCTCTCAGAAAACCCTAAAGTATTCTTCAAGAAACCATAATATCAAGCAAACTCACACAAAACCACGTGAAAGATCAACAGCACTTGAAATCAGAATTTCTCTCATAGCACTCAACCAAATCAAGCAAGGCCGTGATCGTTTTAAAGCCAAGCTTCAGAGCTTCAAAACAGTTTAAAAATCTCTTCGATTCATCAACCACAGCTTAAGACATTCACAGAAGAAGAGAAAGCAAAAGCACACCTAAAAACCCCTCAAATCAGAACCATTCTTTCATCACCTCAGTTAATCTAATTCTCCAAGCCGTAGATTGGAGACAGATCCAAGGGCCCATATTTAAAACCTAAAGTTAGAAATCCGGATGAAGGAACCTTACTCCAATCAAAAATTTCCACGAGTCATCTTTCTCGCAGCCCCTGAGTATTTAATCCCCTTCTCCACGCCGTCGTCTCTCACCGGACTCCGGCATCTCTCTCTCTCTTTTCTCTTCTCTGCATCTTGAGACACTAACCCTGCTCTAATCCCATGGCGACTGAGGAAGTTCTGGCTCCAGCTGTTGAAGAACATGTCGCCGATCCGGCGCCCGTGGACCCAACCGGTGAGACGGGGGATCGCGCAGCCTCAAAGGAAGATAAACCGAAGAAACCTCGCAAGCCACGCGCTCCTGCCTCTCATCCTCCTTATATCGAGGTAATTCACATTTCATGATCATAAGATTGCCTCAATTATTTTCCGATGTTCCCCTTTCATCTGATCTAATGAGTTCTTCAATGCGGGGAAACCCTAGATGATTCAAGAGGCAATAACCTCGTTGAAGGAGAAGACAGGATCTAGCCAGTATGCGATCACCAAATTCATCGAACAAAAACACAAGGACCACATCCCCTCGAACTTCAAGAAGCTCCTTCTCTTCCATCTCCGCAAGCTCACAGCTGCAGGAAAGCTTAGCAAGGTGAAGAACTCCTACAAAATCCCCGCTGCCTCTGCTGAACCGGCGAAGGCAAAGGCAACTTCGAAGCCGAAGCCCAGTGCTTCTGCAGCCAAGCCAAAGGCGAAGCCATCGGTAAAGCCAAAAGCCAAGGCGGTGGTGAAACCAAATAAGAAGTCTGCTGTGTCCGCCAAGCCCAAGGCTAAGGCGGTTGGTGCAAAGTCAAAGACGAAATCTGTTTCCAAACTGAAACCAGTGGCAAAGGTTGCGAAGCCGAAGCCTAAAACTGTGGCGACCAAGGCTTCTACACGTCCGGCCAAGGCGGCGAAGACTTCGGAGAAAGACACGCTGGGAAAGAAGAAGGTGGCAAAGCCAGTCAAGAAGGTTCCCTCAGCAAAGGCATCGGAGAAGGCGAAGACGGTGAAGCCGACAGCGAAGGCTGTGTCGAAGAAGACGCCGGCGAGAAAAACGAAGAAGCTGTGAGAGTGATTTATAAATTTTCTTGTTTCTTAAGCGTGGCAATGTCCGTAAATTTTAAGATTCAGCTGCTTTTATTATTATTATTAATGAAAATTACGCTGTTGATATTTTTATTGAATTGTTTTGCTACTAATATATATATATATATATATAATATATATATATAATATATAATATATATATATATATATATATATATATATTTAAGCTTTTAATAAAAGTATAAGTAGTTTTGTAGGGAATATTTATAGTTTTTTATAAAGTTGACTATAAAATTATCATAAAACATAATCAAAATAATAAATTTTTTTATTAAAATAATAAGAAAATAAAAAAATAATAATAATTTAAAAATTCATGATTGTTACCTAAATGTAAAATAATAAAAAAAATAATCTCAAATAGATCTTTAATTTTATAAATCAATCCATCCAATTAAAAAAAATTAAGAGAGCGTATTCATTTTAATTGTTCAAAAAATATATTCATTTTAAACCTTCTTTTAACAATTGTTTTAGCAATCAATTTCTCTTTTATGTTGTTTGTATTCCTGCAATTTTGGAAATGAGAAAATGCTCTAAAAATAATTTAAATAAGAAAGTATTTGAGAAATAACACTTAAAAAATTATGGCTTAGTTTGAGATGGTTCCTCACTGCTTCTTCAAGTAGTTTTTTAATACAAAATTTTTTAATTTTTGTATTGAAATGCTATTTTAAGAAGCATTAAGAAAGTCATCTCAAACAAAGCCTATGACTCCATAATAATATGGAGTAGATTTAAAGATTGGTGTAAAATTGTATGGTGATTTTAATACTAATAACAATGGTGATCTTAATCAATATAAAAATATATTATATTGATTAAGATTAGAGATCGAAGAACATGTTGTAAAAACAAAGAAGTTCATTGAAGAATATTTCAATTGAGAAGAGAAATACTTAGCTTGGCTAGCCAATGTTGTTTCAATTCTATAGAAAAATGTACAAATTCATGTTTTTATTAACTTCTCTAAACATATTTATAAGACTATGGTCGATAGTTATTCATATTATGATACATCTTTATTGGCGGTTCATCTTGATACAAGAAGATTAAGATAATCTCTTACGATAAATATTTTATTACCTTTCAAACACCACTAGATAATCTTTAAAATTGTAACTCTCAATCAATCACAATCCTACATGTTGCAAATATATAACCCTAAATTTTAAATTCTCCTAAAAATCTAAGGACCCATTTACGGAATGTTCGAGGGAAATCTTCTAGAGAACAACCTTGATTAATTGATATAGCTTTTAATTCTCTGATTTTTCATATATATATGTATATATATGAAGCATTAAACATGTGTTTCAATGTTACTTTAGTTGTATCTTTATTTAATACTATTGCTTGATTGGCTCAATATAATTATCAAGGCATCTCTCAATTTTTTAAAATCAAAGGGCATCTCTAGTCTCAGCATGAGGATAGCCATGGTTATAGGATTTGTCAAACTCATACTCAAATACTAGAAAAGTAATAGTATTAGCAAGATTTTGAATGGACCGGTCAATGAACCGAAGAAGAAGATGTTAGTGGATACCGATGTTGATTGGGTCAATGGGATCGATATCGGTGATGTAATAAATATTTATTATATTTAAATATTATAATAATGATACATTTTATAAATTAATACAAAAAAAATTGAACAACTTTAAAATTATACATAAATTTCACATTATAAACTATTTTATAAGTCATATAAATTATTCTTTAGGTTTTTATTATTCTTATATCAATTTGCTTCACATTAGAGAAAATTTTTAGAATTTTTAAAAATGATAAGTAATTATTTTTTTTATATATTTAAAAATTTAAAAATTATTATGATTAAATTGTGAATATTTTAATACTTTTTTCCAACAAATCTCATAGAGGTATCCATTCGTGCATGCCTTGTTGGAACTAGAAAATACATAGTTGTTTAGATCCTCCGATCCTTTATGAGCTTTATGTTTTATTATTTATATACATTTTCTTGTATGGCATTGGTTAAGAGCCCTCATAAGGGGTGAATCATGTTGTTATGAATACTTTTGAATGTATATAATATTAAAAAATAAATTGGAATTCCATAATATCATATAAAGTTAATTTATTATTTTAAGAATATTTTTTATTAAATTAATTATTTAAATATTTATTATTGAAACCTGGGGAGCGTTCTTTAAAACGGCCTTTTAAACCAGTTTTCACCAGTTTTATGCAGACCGATTTCTTAGGAGGAACTGAACTAGCCTTAGGACCGGTTCACAGTTAGCCGGTCGATACCGGTCCTCCGGTCCGATTTTCCATAGCCATGGTAATTAGAGATAATGTCCAAATATGCAATCCTCCTAATGATGAAGACTTTTGCCTCCCGCACAAGATCTAATAAAATACGAGTAGTCAATCATACATGAACTACACATTGCTTCAACATCTCTCATCATCATATAGACATAGTCCTTTTTCAAATGCATACTCCAAATCTATGAACTCAAATTTGTATTATTTTTTTTTCCTAAGGAAAAGCTCACTTCTATAAAATTCACTTCTTATACACAATGAATGTATAATAAATTTCCTTAGTAAACCTTATATTAGACATAAGTCACATGGCCAAGCCAACTAAAAATTTATATGTGCCTTCAATATGAGTTATTTCCCTCTTCTTTTTCTCTAAATCTCTTTGTATAGTAATTATTTGCTTTAGAAAAACACTCCAAAAATGATGAATTTTAATCTTCATGCTCTCTTTGAACATTTAATGCAAAATTTTTATCATACACTCTCAATTATATGAATTAACATAATTCACAAATGTCATTTACTACTATAAGATGATGCTCTGCATTCTCAAGAATGATAAAATCACATATTAGGGAGTTATGACCCAAATCTTCAAAAATGTTGTAATCTCATATTAGCATATCATAATCTGCATCCTTAATAACATTGTACATCAACAAGTTGGGTGTTATGCATATGACTTAATGTTCAAGAGAAATGCACTGATAACTAAATTTTAATTAGACATGTTAATGTTTTTTTACTATATTTGTCGATATGAAATCAAGATAAGTACCTTAAAATACGCCTATGGAATGTCTTCTAATAAGTTATTGGGCTTCATTAGTAATAATCATGCTATTGAGGCTGTCCTTTCAAGGATCAAAGAAATCCTAAAATATGGAGCCACTAATTAGTCTTACTTAATTTAAATAGTTTTGTGGTATGTTTATTTATTTATTCTTTGTATTGTTTACCTCTAAGTTCAATGGAAAATGTTAGCCTTTCATTGTATTAGCGAAGAAATATACCTAGTTCAAGTGAAATAAGAGTAGCCATAAAGACTTTAAGAGCATCAAACACGACCTAATATAATTAGACGTATTGTTTGTCCTAATTTAAAGCCAACCTTTGGCTCCTTGCACAACCACCCATGATGAGTCTCTTAATGCCTTTTAACTCAAGTTAATGATAAGGGCAAAGAGAATTTCTTATCCTATCATAAATTATAAATCATTCCATCAAGTATTAATCATCATTTACTGAGAAGCATTATTTAGCATTGATATGTATTATGTTGAAGAAAAGACAATACCAAACTTTTTACAACATCAAACTTTATTTTGAAATCAATCAACTTCAAAATCTTAGGCTTTGTTTGGAAATGATTTTTACTAATACTTTTCACTATTCCCAAGAAATTTTTGTACTAAAAATCTGCTTTAAAAGGTAGTAAAAAAATGCCTTAAACGAAGCATTATTTGATGTTATCGAGATTTTTTACATTGACCACTCATGCTTTATTGTCAAGACCTTTGAACCTCAACAAACAATCAAGTGATAGGGTTTAAATAATTTTATTTCCATCCATTCAATTTTATTTATTACATGCTCAATAATTATATGTATAGCATATAATTCACAAGTGTATGGAGCTAAACCCTTTATTTAAAAACTATACTTTTACAATGCAACCTAAATTGGCCTCTATCAACTTTCAAAATGCCATACATAACAAAGTGCTATGTCATGGGAGCCACCTCTTGAATCATGTATGATACAAAGCAATATGTGGCGGGAGTCAACATTTGAACATATAAGGGCCACCTATAGAATCATGTTTACCTAATGGATGATTCAGGGATAAAAATACTGGCGAGGATGTTAGTTATTTAAGTGTGAGAGATTGTGAAATATTTTAAGTAAAAGAAACTAAACTCTTAAATATCGAGACATCTTTTGGTATAATGGTTAAAATTTCATGAAGAAACTCTACACTTATGCATATTTATCCCAAAGAAATCCTGGGATGAATGACCTCCTGAGAAATTACACAAACAGGAGAAAACTGTGAGGCCCTTAGGGCAAAACCAACAATATCTTGATATTTAAGAGTTTGCATTGTTATAAAGAGTATCAAAGCAGTTGTTTTGATAAATGAATTCATATGTATATATTGATATTTTGATAGATAGTTTTATTTCCACTGATATTTATATTGATAAGAAAAATTAGGTAGCTTTAATTGTGTAAATTAGAAGATAACAAAATAATTCTTCCAAATTAAATTCTGAGGCATTATAGAGTAATGGATATCTTAATATGAAATTTATTGATTTAGAGAAATCATATGATATAGTTCCAAGAGAAGTTTTATGGAGAGTTCTAGAAAAGAAAGTGATTAATAATGCATATATTCAAGATATGTATGCAAGAGCTGTTACATTGTTTTAAAACAAGGTGGTTTGACTAAGTGTTTTCTTATTTATGTTGGATTACATCAAGGATCAGTTTTAAGCCTGTATCTTTTTTGCTTTAGTGATGGATGTTCTCACTAGATATTTTTAAGAGGTTGTACTTGTATACTTTTTGCTGATGAAGTTCTTCTTGTTGATAAAACTAGAGAGGGAGTTGAAAATAAACTTGAATTATAGAGGTCAACCTTAGAGTCTAAAAATTTTGTTTAAGTAGATATACAATAGAATATGTAGAGTGAAATTTTAGTTGTAATAGTTCTAGTGGGGGATTGCAACTTTAGGTGATCAAGCCATTAATAAGATTACATCTTTTTGATATCTTGAGTCTATTGTTCAAAATGATGATGAAATATATGTTGATATTATTAATAGAATTCAAGTTGGATGGTTAAAGTGAAGAATGCTACAGGCTTGTAGTGTGATAGAAAAGTCCCATAAACTTACGAGAAAATTTTATAAGATGGTGGTACGACCTGCAATGCTTTTATGGTGCAAAATGTTGGCCACTAAAAGAGAAGAATAATATTAAGTTAATTGTTATAGAGATGAAGATGCTAAGGTGCATGAGTGACTTTACTCTTAGAGACATGACAAGAAATGAGTATATACGGAAACATGTTGGAGTTGCTCATGTGGAAAATAAGATTAGAGAGAGTCACCTTAGATGGTTTGGTCACATAAAACAACAGCCTTTCAATGACCTGTTAAGGAAATTAGACGTATTGAATTTAGCTTATGTTAAGAAAGATAGAGGTAGAACTAAAGAGATTTGGTTAAAAAATTATAAGAATGACATTTAAATGAGAATTTGACTCTTTACATGTTACATTGGGGAAAAAAGATTCATGTAGCCGACCAGACATAGAAGGATAACGGGCTGATGATGATGATTTTGTTGCTGTATAGGGTTGTATGTGTGATATGAATTAAATATAGGGTAACATATTTGATATTAAAGTTATTCATTGTTGGTAGACATAAAATATTAAAATTTTGAATATTAGATATGTAATAAAGAAATGATATGCATCTATATATCCTATATATAAAATTTAATTATTTATAAAAATAATTCCCTCCTACTTTTATATATGAAAGTCCTATCTAATTATTAAAATATCTTATTATTGATTATGTAAAGCTGACTAATCTGCTCACTTATGCCCTAGTCCAATGTCCATATACACCCCAATTGTGGCTAACCCATTTCCCTAAACATAAGCATTCCAAAGCAGTGGGAAATCGGCCATGGATTCTGAAGATAAGCGACCAGCCAATTGGATGATCCCTTTCCGCCACGCGTCGATCCTCTTTTCGATTAGAGTTCACGGTGCGAGCTGTCGCTGCGAAAGAGAAAGATACTGAAGAGCCATCGAGTCATCTACCCGCAAGAGCAGAGAGGAGCCGATAAGAACTGTTCAGTATATTTGAGTACCATCGACACTAGGAAGAAAGCTGTTCATGGCGGCGGCGACGGCATCTTCGGTAGCAGTGGCGCTTGGTGGAGCTCGATTTCCGGCGCCGGGCTTTTTGGTCCCAGGAAGCCCGTCTCTCCCCTTCCTTCCTAACCCTCGCCGGTTTCTGGCCGGCCCAGTCCTTCACTTATCTGGTAAAGTTTGTTCCATGTTTCCGACTAATTATGGAAACTATTTTTTGGCTAATGCCGTTTGGGATATTTATCCCCTTCCTGAAACCTTTCCGTACCGGTGAAAGACCTTTTACTGGTTTCGAATATTTTTTATTTTTGTTTGTTAGAGTACATGCGGTTGCTTGTTAGAAATTGATGAAGTTTGTTAGACTTGCAAAGGAGCAATTGTTTTTTCGGAGGAGAAAACAATAAGTTTTTTCACAAATGCTTATTAAAAAAATTTCTTTTTACAGCAAAATTCATGAGCTAAACGAAACAAGGCAACCAAAAGCTTGTCACTTGGCAACTATGAATTTAGCTAATAAAAAGATATATGATATTTCAGTATATTCATGAAATTGTACTTGCAAACTTACCTGCAAATGCTCAGACTTGAAGACTCTTCCATTGTCAATTCTATCACCAGCAAATGAAGATCATGTTCCGAGACTGATAGCAAGTAGAAAGATGTCGAGCCACTTGAGATTTTACCAAAAATCCATTCTTTTAAGAACCTCCAGATGTTGCAGGTCGAGTCATTCTTTAAGTGGGCATTTTATCAATTATCACTGGCAAAAACATAAAAGATCTAGAAGCCTATAGCATCAAATAATGTTAATGGAGGCACTAAATCAAAATGACCTAAACCAATCTAAAGTAGACAGTGAAAAAGCCTTCAATTTAGAAGTCCATCAAAACAATAAAGTCATCAAAACATAAGATTTCTAAATAGCTTTAACTTTGAGGTTTCAGATGTTTGATAAGTGCATAAACAAGAAACAATAAACATTATTATTGCGAGATGATGTGCCACCCCGTGCGCTCTTCTCATTTTCAAATTTGAGCAACATATTTTTTTCACATCAATAGCATCATGGTACCCTCCAAGATAATGACATTGTTTGAATTTGCGCACTCCACCCCACAAACAACAAGGTAGTGGTGTTTTAAAGTTCTTTCCTGCATCTTCTCCCTCCTAAAGGGAAGAAAATAGCATTTTATTAAGCAAACTCAAAAGCACACAAACAATCAATTAATAGGTCAAATTGGATGACTTAAAGTTCACCATAGTTTGATATGGATTATTGCAACATGAGCATTACAACAGTCACAATTGCTAGCAACTACCAATCAGAAAACTTGAACAATTTCCAAAAGAAGTAGTTAATAGAATCCTAACCTAGCATGACTGTCCTAATAATATCATAAAAAACTTCCACAATGAAAGATAAACAGAACATCTTGTATCACAAAGAAATGTGTAAATTCTTAAGAGAAAAGGTGGTAAGCTTCCAATAATACTAAGTAATGCAAGACCACTACAGAAGTGGTGGTGAGACAACGATCTTCTGTAGAGGTGAAAGCTATAGCGATTAGAAGTATTGGACAGTAGAAGGGTTGACGAATAGAAGCATCAATGAGGTGAAGTGATGGCAAGGAAGAATCAACTGTGAGAAGAGGAAACAATGAGGGGCATACACAGAAACTTGATGGGTCTTATAGTTATAGAATTACAAAGGCTCACTATAACTCATTAACTACCTATTAACCACTAATACAATTCAAACTATAAATTTCAATTATTAAAACTAACATTTATTACTAACTTACACAACCCATTGCAAATCCCTATCAGAAGAACATGTGGCTCAATTTATTTTCATGTAGAATTATGAATTTAGATCATGGTCCACATAAGTTTTAAATTTTTAGGCATATAAAATTGATTAATTTCTAGATTATAGTTCAATATGAATGCAATCATTTCCTTAAAGCAGCAATGTTGGAGGAAAGCGAAGTATTTGATTCTTTATAATTAAATATAGTAATGTGGTCGATTTATCCTCGTTATGTTTGTAACAGGAAATTAGGAGGATCCTTTTGCCTTGGAAATTTTACTTTGTAACTGCTTTCCCTCCATCCATTGGCTTGCTTACTTTCCTATTTCCATCTCCATCTATGTTTAAATAAATCACGCAAATATATATATATATATATATACGAGTATATTTACTTAGAAATTCTAAATTTTAATAAATTGATTGATAGTATCTAATTGAACGACTGCCCTTTTGCAATATACTTCTTAGTAAAATATAGGACATGTATTGAATGGATATTGGTATGCATGTGTAATAAATGGGATTTGTCCTAGGATTCAAACAAAAATACAAGTTATGTAAAATATATATTATTTTAATAAAAAATCATTTTTGAAAGGTCAAAATGAGACATGCAAAGTAAGTATTTTTCATAAACACTTATGTGTAGGCTTTTGAAGTTTACAATATAATCTTGTCTTTTAATCATATTTAGTAGTTAACTTCATACCACTAAAATTGCATGTGATATACTCAATCTTTCTTTTACTAATTCTAAGGTTTTCATCTTCTAAATGCTTCATATGTTGTTCTAAATTTTCATCGATTTCAATGGATGTCTCACCATTTCGAATATCCATAGTAAGTATCTTAATAACTAATACAAAAACATATGACTTATTATTTATCCTTGATGTAAACTTAGAAACTCTGGACCACTCCACATCTACTTCTAATATTAGTCACTACATGATAATCTTTTCAACATTTTTCTAACTTAAAAGCACATCAAATCAATTCCTACAGTACTTGATCATATGCTTTATCAAGATTCATAGAAGTCATTTGAAAATCATTTCATAGTTCTATATACTTCTCTATTAATTGTCTTATCACAAAACTTACTTCCATGATATACCTTCTTGGTATGAACTATGTAGTAAAATTAATTATCTGAAATTGATATAAAATTTTTAAAGTTATGTTCAATTACTCTCTCCTATAGCTTCATTGCATGACTTGAGATTTTGATTCATCTATAACCAACTCAATCTTGACGATTGCATTTATTTTTAAATATTAATATTCAAATACTTTTTCTTTGATCATTCGACATCTCTTAGTTTTCAAAATTCTATTAAAAGGACTTATCTATCAAATTATTATAAATTTTCTCGTAACTTTTCGAATTTCATTAAGTATCTCAGTTTGACATCTTGGAATGAAGCTATTGTTCTTTGATTAACAATTTTTACTTTATGGTACTAAGGAGTAACTTAGAGTATGCCATCAGTTTCTCGCCCTTGTAACCTAATTTCTTCTAAAAGGATTTGATGCATAGGATGGAAAAAAATAGCAGGAACTAAAGCTTTCAGTCTACATTGTTTCTTTATTGTCTTCTAAACTGAATGAGCAATAACTTAGTATTATGAACCGTCAGAAGCTTCGAAGCTATAAATGGGCAATTTCTATGTACGCGTATCACTTCAATGGGTGGAGAAAGTTTGAGGTATTAATGAACCATTCTTATACACAGATGTGCAGAGGTTTTCAGCCCATAAGTTAAGAGCCAGCTCCTCAGAAGAGACATCCGGCTCCATTCAAACTGAAGAGCTAATTGCAGATTTGAAAGAAAAGGTAACAGATCTTATTTTGAGAAGTTCCTTGTACACCTTCTATATGTATATATCAGACTATTTCTGACAAACACTTGTGCTTTAGTGGGATTCTATTGAGAACAAATCCACTGTTTTTGTCTATGGTGGAGGAGCCATTGTTGCTGTCTGGTTGTCTTCTATTGTAATCAGTGCTGTCAACTCTGTTCCGCTGGTATGTTCTTGTTAGCGTTGTCTAGCTTCTCTAGTTCATTAATTTTTTAGAAGACTTGACAATACCTGTACTTCTTTAAATTGATTTTGAGATTATTGACCTTATTTATAAAAAAAATAAATCATTCTCATGGCAGCTGCCTAAGCTTCTGGAGTTGATTGGGCTTGGCTACACTGGATGGTTTGTCTACCGCTATCTCTTGTTCAAGGTAACTATTGTTGGTTTAGAATGAAATTACAAAGCATATGTACTAGTCATCATTGTGCACCTTTGTTTTCCAGAACTGGTTGCTTGTTATTCAAGTTTTTGCATGAGATTTAGGGGAAAACTTGGATCCTAATTTGTTTTTCAGATAAAGCCATTGCAATCTTTTTGTTGTAAATTGCAGTGGTAATATTTTTGTACCAAATTTTAGAAAACGGAGTGGAGGAACTAGGTATCTCCATCTCAAAATAACATAGTGAAAACCTATTATCTGCAACCTTATCAATGATAATATTGAAACCTTTCATCTCTCTCTGTGTGTGCCGAGGGGTGTCAATATTTGACATGACCCGAAAATCTGACTCGAATCCGACCCGAAAATTCCGGGTTAGGGTCAACCCGAATCCGAAACGGGTCGGGTTCGGGTTCAACAAATCGACTCGTTTTAAAAATCGGGTCGGGTTCAGGTTGATTCAGTAACCTGAAATTGACCCGAAAACTTGTTTTGATCTGGGAACCCGAGATTGACCTGTTTTGACCCACCCGAAAACTAGCAATTTTAGGATCATTTGGGTCGTGTTGGGTTGATCCAGACCCGAAGCGGGTTGGGTTCAGGTCCGAAATGCTGACCCGTTTGCAAAAACAGGTTGGGTTTGGATTGACCCGAATAGTGCCGTGTCAGTCTCGGGTTCGACCCGAATCCGACCTGTGACCCGAAATTGATTTGCATATGTGCGCCGCTAAATCTTTATTGTTTCACTTGATTGTTTCAGTCAAGCAGAAAAGAGTTAGCAGAAGACATTGAATCTTTGAAGAAGAAGATTGCAGGAACAGAATAGATAGAGGAGCCTAACAAGCTTCAGAAACTAGTCAAACTTTCCTGTGCAAGTCATGCTAAAGATTGTGTAATGTTTAAATTGTTCTCAGTTTCTTCTGTTTGCTTGTTTTTACTTCTTTTAGACTATTGAATTCTTCAAATCTGCAGATTTTGTAGTGAAAGTAACTTGGTGTCAAACCTGTAGCTAATCATTTATTTTTTGCATTTAGCTTATAAATGTTGCCTACAATGATAGCTGTTTTCAAATACCAGTTGCTGAAGTTTGTGGAATATTTGAAGGCATTCTTGATGTACCTGCCAACTTCGATTAGAGTCAAATTTAGCCTAAAATAGATTTAGCTTTTAAGCAGAATTGATCAAAATTAGGATTTTTGGGCTTCGTTTTGGATAACTTTTTTACTGCTTTTTAAATAACTTTTTAGTAAAAAATTAAATTATTTTAAGACTCAATAAAAAAACCGTCCCAAATGATGCCTTAATACAACTTGCATGATGATTAGCTTGATTTCATGCAAAATAATTTGAAAAATTATGGATGGCAAATTTTCTATTAATTGACTACACACTTTTATTATTATTATTATTATTTTTTAATGGATTACACACCTTTTTAGATATGAATAAGAAGTATTAGGGTTTAAGATTAATGATTATGAAATGGTCCAAATGAATTGAGAATTTCATTACATTAATTGAAATAGAAAAAGGAATAAAAACAGCTAAAAAAAAAAAAACAGCCATCATTTCTTTATAATGAGATAACCTTTTCCAAAATTGTGTAATCATTTCTGATTTCTGCACGGTAATAAAAGAAATCATACATTTATTTTACATTTATAAGTTAGAAAGTAATTTTTTTTAAATAATATTAATCTATTTCTTAATCAGATTATTTTGATTAATTTTATTTTCCACCTAAAAGCCAACGAAAGGCAACTGAAGGTACACAATCAATCCACACCAATTTTCCATTATGAGCCATTGACAAAACTTTGATTGATTGATTCCTACAAACAGCTCCAAAACACTGCTGAAGTATAGTTTTATTATGGGTGTAAACGAGTTGAGTTGAGCTCTAATTTGAGCTAGTTTGAGTTCGGCTCATCAACATACTGAGAAGCTCAAGCTCAAGCTCATATGGTGAGCTTGAACTCAACTTGCCTGTGTTGTCTCGGGCTCGAGCTCGATTCGTAAGCTTTGCATCATCAGAGAAGTTGTCTAGTCACCAGAGTTATAACGGGCTTGGCTAGCCGGAGGAGATTGGGAGTCGAACTAAGGACCCATGGACGAGCTCATCAATTGGAGAAGAGATTGAAGATGAAAATATATGTTTTTATTTTATTGAGAGAAGATAGGAGCAGTTTTTTTTTTTTATAAATATAATTAGTGATTTTCCTGAAATAAGTACATTTTTGGCAACTTTCCAAAACAAAAAAAAAAGGTTGCTGGAAGCTATAGTTTGCATTAATAGCATTAAATACAATTAATTTTATATATTTTGGCTGCATTAGAAGTAACAATTTAAAATAATTTAATAATAATACAAGTTTTTTTTTAATATCAGATTAACCGAGCTGAGCTCACGAGCCAACGAGCCGCATCTCATCAAGCTTGAACTTGAGCTCGTTTAATATATGAGCTCAAGTTGGAGCTCGAGCTTGAGCTCAAAGCTTGATAAGCTCGACTCGCGAGCTTATTACTGAGTCAAATTTGAGCAAACTTGACTCATTCACACCCCTAATTTCCAATAGCATAAACGCATTTTATAATCTAAGGGTAGGCATCAGTTTTCAAATGTCCATAATTTGTAAAACAAGGTAGGTCTTATAAAATTTAGGAGAGAGTTTTAGCTCTTTTTTTTTTGCTCAAATCTTTTGAATTAATATGAATATCAGATGAACCAAATTTCTTCATCCCTTGGATTACAAGATCGTTGGATGATCTCACCTATTGGCTAGCCTAATAGGCCTACTTGAGTTGAGCCCAACCTAGTGAACAAAATATATCATTTGGAAGCTCTCAAGATCAAAAAATAAACAAAATTGATGGATCAAAATATTGTTAGATTTAATCCACCCTCAGCAATAACTCATTTGATCCATTAATTCAGTTATTTCGAGGCCCAAAGATACTAAATTTCAATGTTTTTACTATTTTTCGAATCATAATGATGAGAAAAAAATATTTTAACAATGAATTTACAAATTTTGGTGAACATTTAATCCTTCAAATGCTTCCTAAAGGTTATTGATTCTCCTTATTGAGTGCTTTTAAACTAAGATTATATTTGGGATGGCTTCTTACTGCTTCTTAAAGCAATTTTTAAGTAGAAAAATTATAATTTTTGTACAACCAAATTGCTTTAAAAAGCAGTAAGAAAATTGTCCCAAATATAACCTAATGCTCCATTTGAGATAGCTTTAGAGCACTATTTTCTTGCTTTCAAAAAATTTTCATGCTAAAAAATTATTTTACAAAGCAATAGAAAAGCCATCCCCAACGAAGCCTACAACATAACATCAGAATTAGTGCTTGGTTAGATAAAACTTTGGGTGATCTCCAACACAACCAGCATGAATTCCAAGAGGGTATAAATAGCCACACTGCTGGAAAGTCATTGCTATTCTTATAATTAGCAAGTTAGCATCCAATTCTATTGTTTCTGATTGTAAAGTCCTCAGCGATTTGCTTCGTCAGATGCATGAGATTACGGTTTCATTTGGGACGATTTTTTTATTGCTTCTTAAAACAAAATTTTAGTACAAATTTTTTAATTTTTAATTAAAACTCTGTTTTAAGAAGCAGTAGAAAGCCGTCCCAAACGAAGCCTAAGATTTCATTTGGAACAACTTTCTTATTGTTTCTTAAAACAACTTTTTAGTACATAGAAATTTACTCTAAGAAGCAGTAAAAAAACTGTCCCAAACAAAATCTAAATCAAAAGAAATACCAGTAAAATAAACTTTGAGCGATTCGTTATTTCATAACCTATATTTTTCCTACATATAAAATCACCCAAATAAGATCATTTTCAAAATATAAAAACGTAAATATTATAATTTCAAAGAGATCATCAGAGATACTGCGGACCCTTACTACAATCTATCATGAAATTTTACATAATAAAGCTCCTAAATTCACCCCTTCTACCAATAAATTGCAGGTATTTTTGAACTCACTAACATGCAAGCAAGCTTCCACTTCAAATTTAGCCCATATTTATAACAAAATAGCAAAGACAACCTTCTCGTGTGCCTTGTATAATTTTCCAATTAACATTGCATGTATGAAGAGGATTGGCAGTACACAGAATAAGGCCAAGTGCATGTGTTAAGAGAATCCACTCAAACAAAAAATGAATCACAAAGTGCCAAAAGTGCAATTGTAAGGAAGGAAAAGTGGTTCATAATTTCTATAATATGCTCAAATTACCATTCCATTAGTCATCGTATAGTTCCAAGAAGGTTGGCACCACCTAGCTTAGCCCCATCCATATGCTGTTTCAAGAAGAAATGCCATTAGAATATTATAAAACTGGTGTGTGAATCATTAAGGGAAGAATGAAATAACAGAAGGAAATAAACATCAAGCCTTTGTCCCACTACGTGGGGTCAGCTACATGAATCTTTTTTCTCCATTATGTCCTGCTAAAAGTCAAATTCTCGTTTAGATCTAAGATTTTTTATGAAAAGATCTTAGAAATAAAGCAACACTCGACTACATTTTTACTTTATAAATATGTAGAACAAGCATTGTCATTATCTTCTATCACAAGATAATCATGTGGAGAACCCTTACTTCTGATGCTTTTTGTACTTAGTTTATAATTTCAATCATTGCATTATTATTGTCATCTTCTTCTATCTCAAGATAATCATCTGTAGAACTATTCAAATGACCCCTTATTTATGATGTTTTTTGTACTTAGTTTATAATTTAAATAATTGCATTATTTAATACAAGTAAATGTTGCTTATTTTCATATTATTGAGAATGATTTACATAAGATGCAAGATACATGATAAGAATTATAATACTTGTATAAATCAAGTTGATCTTTATCACTGAGTATAATCAACAAAATATCAAATCATGAGGCAGTATAAAAAGTTACCTGGAATCATTGTCTTGTAATAAAATATAAAATATGCATCTCCAAAATAACAAGAAGCAAATAAGATTAGTGCACATATAGAAGGGATTGGATGATTGATTTGTTTTGGCACATTCGAAGGACCTGATTAACAAAAAAGGAGCAGTCACACAGAATAGCCCATGTTCGTTTGTCGAAGATGATGTCCTAGTAATAGCAAATCGATACAAAAAGGATTATTGGGTTGGCATTGACACAGGGTGGCGAACACAGGTAGAAAGGAAAGGGGCAAATGTAGCTGGTGGGTGACCGTAGATCTCAAGGAAGAGCACACTTAGGCTTTGTTTAGGACGGCTTTCTTATTGCTTCTTAAAGCAGCAGTAAAAAAAGCCGTCCCAAACGAAGCCTTAAGCTGCGATGGAGTTGGCAAGGTGTGGGATACAACATTATGTAGCGCATCGCAGGGAGCTAGCACACAGGTAGAAGCAGGAGTTGCTAGGAAGGGCTAGCAAGGAAGAAAGAGATTCAACAAGGAAGTGGACTTTGCAAACAAATCAAATGCAGGTTGGTGGTCAGCACATGAGCTCATAAAATTCTCATGCAGAGGTGAAGTTGTGATTGTAGTTCATGAATAGGGATTGGTAGGCAAGTGACACAATCGGCTATCAAAAAAACCGTGGATCAACTCAACGGGTAGCAGACTGGTACAACAGAACACACATAGAGAAGTTGCATATAGCTTACGGATGAACACAATTGGCAGTGGATGGTGAGGTGCGACGATGCAAGGGTTTGCAGTTGAATGACACAACGTGCGATGATGAGAGCCATAGAGAATGGAAATGAATGGAAAGAGTTGTTAAGATCTAACAAAAGTTGATACAAATAAGGCATATGAAAATTCAAGGATTCACATCCTTCAATGGAGAGATGTGACAGATTGTCCAACTTCCTTGTAGTTTGATACAATATTCATAAATTTGCTGAGCCCTTACAAGCTTCTTCTACCTAGCCGCTAGAACCCTAAACAAATCCTAGAATAATTTCAACAAACAAAAGATATTAGCCCTATACCAAATTCCTTCTTAAATAGCCCTAATCATACAATAATGCCAATTAAATCCTTCCTAAACAAGTTAAACCTCCCTAAACATCTCTCCCTTGATTCATCCTCACATGATGAATTACAACTTAGTTGGGCCCCACAAGGGGGGCCGAAACTCCCCTGGTTCCTACTCCTAGTTCTGCCCAACCATGTGATTGGTTCGGCTCTTACTGGACCAGCCAGCTGGGTTAGCCCAAGTCGCCCCCTCTCCTGCTCCTCTTGCCGAATCAATATTCCCTCCCCCTCTTCTCGGCGCACCTTGTCCTCAAGGTGGAAGGATGGGAACCATTTCCTAATCATCTTATATGACTCCCGTGTGGCATCATACTCCGGTAAATCATTCCACTTAATTAGTACCTCCTATGCCCCTATTTCACCTTGACGCACCCCTTCTACTCTCAGAGGTTCCAAAATGAACTCCATGTCTTTTATCAAAATCGAGGGTATTGAAGATGGTGTGTGATTTCCTATTGCCCGCCTCAGTTATGAGACATGAAATACTTAGTGCAATATTGATGAAGGTGGTAATCCCAGTCAATCCACATCTCCAATGCACTCCAAAAACTCATAAGGCCAAAAGTATCGTGAGGATAATTTCTTATTCCTCCTCCTGGCTAGTGTCTTCTGCTGATAGGAACTCAGCTTCAAGTAAACCATGTCTTGTGGCTCGAAGTATACTTCTCTCCTGTGCTTATCAACCTTCATCTTCATGATCTATTGGACACTCAATAGATGTCCTTTGAGCTCATCTAATATCATGTCTCTCTCCTCTAAGTAATGATCTACACTGAAAATGGGTGTAATGCTCTACCCATAATGTATCAAATGAGGTGGATATCTCCCATAGAGAATCCTGAAAGGGGTGGTCTGTGCTGCTGAATGGTACGAAGTGTTGTATCAATACTCAGCCCAAGTAATCCACTTTGCCCAACTCTTAGGTGTATATGATACAAAGCATCACAAATAGGTTTCCATGCTTCTGTTGACTGCCTTCGTTTAACCATCTATTTGAGGATGGTAGGTCATACTCCTCTTCAGAAGTGTCCGATGTAAATGAAACAGGTCCTTCCAGAAATGACTGAGGAGCATCTTATCTCTATATGACACAATAAATTATAAAAATTCATGTAAGTGCACCACCTCCCGTATGAAAGCAGTAGCCACCGAGACTATAGTGTAAGGGTACTTCAAAGGGATGAAGTGTGCATACTTGCTCAAGTGGTCCACTACTATCAATATCACCAAAAATCCCTTAGAACGTAGCCCTTCGATGAAATCCATCATCGCCTCCTCCCACACTCTCTCTAGTAAGGCCAAAGGCTATAGTAACCCTCCTGGTGTCATGGCCAAGTAGTTGTGTCACTGGCACACATCAAATCTCGACACCCAGTCCTCTACATCTTGTTACATCCCCACCTATTATAATTTCATAGGCGGCTGACTGTCAGTTTTTTGAGCTCCAAAGTGTCCTCTGCCATGAAACTCCTATAATAGCTTGGGCATGTATCCCGATGTCCTCAATAGGACGAATCTCCCCTGATGTAATAGTTGGGGCCCCATCATCGTGTAACCGGGATGCCTGTCTAGGTTATGCAGCAACTCGGCTCTAATCTTTCTTAGACCCTCATCATATTCACTCTCTTATCTCAAGCTTCCCAGTCTAAGACCATAGGTACTAATAGAGCTATCAATTGTTGCTCATCCGTCTTCCTCGATAGTTCATCTGCGGCCTTATTCTCCAATCCTGAGGGATACTAGATCACGAAGTAATATCCAAGTAACTTGGATAACCACCTCCGATGCTCTTAAGTCATTATCCTCTAATCCAAGATAAACTTTAGACTCCACTGGTCTGTCTTGACGATACAGTGTCACCCCAGCAAATAGGGTCGCCACTTTTGGATGACCAAAACAATCGCCATCAACTCCCACTCGTATACAGACTTGAGCCTCGCCTTGGTTGTGAGCTATGATGCACAGACACGAACACGGCGACACGGATACGAAACGACACGGGACACATCAATTATTGAAAATATATGGCACGGACACGGGTTGGACACGGTATTATATTTTTTTATATTTTAAAAATAGTGTATAAAAATTAAATAAGTATAATTTTAAAAATAATTTAGAAATAATAAATCATTTAATTAGAATTTGTGCTTAAAATGATTAGTTTTAAGATGTCGAGAGTCAGACGTCGATGTCGTTTATCCGTTATCGAGAGAGGAGATGAAAATATCTTCACTACCAAAGAGAAATAAAAATGAGAATATTCGATGAATGGGTTTTAAGTTCAGACGTTGATTTGGTGTTGTGGATAAGAAATAAGAAATTTAGTTTAAATCCCACCAAATACAAAAAATATATATTTTAAAAAATTCATAAAATATTTAAGATACGCTTGTCGGACACGCGTGTCCAATTTGTATTTAATATTTTTTTAATCGGATATGTTTTCGACGTGTCCGACACGTGTCAGAGGAGTGTCAGGCATGTGTCATGTCGGATACGGTGTCTGCACTGCACGCCTCTTTGAGGAGAAGTGTCGGTGCATCATAGGTTGTGAGCATCTGATTGAAATAAGCAATGAGCCGATGACCTTGCATGAGTATTACCCCTTGTCTGTATCCTAGTGCATTTGTCTCCACCACAAATGGTCTGTTGAAGTCAAAAAGTGTTAATACTAGCACGATGGTCATGACTTTCTTCAGTTGTTTGAAGGCCTGTGTTGCTACGTGTCTACAATTGAAATTGTCCTTCTTTAGTTGCTCTGTCAATGAAAATAATATTATGTCATACCCCTATATAAACTTCCGGTAATACACTGTGAGACCCAATAACCCTCTCAATTCCTTCAAGTTCTTAGGTAAAGGCCAATCCAATATAGCCTCGATCTTGGACTGGTCTGCTGCTACACCTGCTTTGCTTATCATATGTCCTAAGTACTCCACTTGTGGTTGTATAAACGAACATTTTTTAAAATGTGCAAGAAATGATAAAAAAATAAAAAGAATTGGTATAAAATTGGTTCAAATGTAAAAATTCTAATAATTGAGAAATATATAAAAATGTCCGTAAGGAGTATAAAGAAGCAATATGCAATGCAAAGATTTTAACATTTAATGATTTATATAATAGATTATATACTAAATAAGGCGAAAGATATATGCATAAGTTAGCCAAAAAAAGAGATATAAGTAATAAGAATTTAGTTCAAGTAAAGTGTAATCAGAATTAAGATAAAATAATACTTTTATTAGAAGAGGATATTCAACAAAGGTGGATGAGATATT